CGCTGCCCCGGAGACCAGCCGGGCCCCGCGCTGCCCTTCGCCGCCGGACGAAGCCCCCCTGGCCGAAGGGGGGAGAGCAGGCAGCCCACCGCGGCAAAGGGGCTCTCCGGCCAAAAGCTGCGCGCCGATCTTCCACCACCTGCGTCGACTGTTCAAAGGACTACATGCCCCCTCATGACCAAATAAGAGTATTGTATACGTGAGATAAGCCGGGGCTCAGTAGGCTCCAGATTTAGGGACGGCATCACATCACGCAGTGCTGCCGTGCCTCAACACCCCTCGGCACGCATTCAGCAGCCTTCCCGCGGGGGGTTTATTGAAACTGATGTCCTGCTGCCACTGTGGGGTATACTGGCGCCACAGGAAGGTTACCCAGCCGTTGGTTATTAGGATTTGCAGGTGTTTAGGTTGCAATTAACAATTCTGTGTGAGGTAACATAAGAACTCCTGGCTGTAGAAGGGATGAATTATAAAAAACCTGTACAGGCGAGGAGAATAATTTCTAAAGGCAGTTCAGAAGTCACAAGATTCACGGCTCTAAGGACTTAGAAGACTGGCTTTTGGGTTTAGGGTTAGTGCCAACAGTTGCCCGGATCTGGATATGTCATGCTCTCCTACCACTGCATGGGGTGGGAGGATCAGGCCATGAAGCAGAGCAGGGGAACAGCCTTTCTGCATCCCATAAAACCTACGCAAGCCCATGTGGAAGGCATAGCCAGTGTAGCAAGTGCAGCAAGGGAAAGGGAGGGGCCTGGTGGAGCACCTGAGACCAGGCAGGTAGAGGTAGCAGCGAGGCTGCACCCTGGAAAAGGGGAAAGGCAGATCAGCAGACAGGCCACAGTGATTCCTTCAGCAACAGGAAAGGGCACTGCAGGAGAAGAGCTGTGCTGAAACTACAGCACTTGGACAAAGACTCTTCAATAGAGTTGCCACTGAAAATTTTCACTTCTGGCCTCTGGATGCTATACCAAAGCACCCAGTACTAGAAAGGATGGAAGCAGCAGATGGAGGACATGTTCACATACAGCAAATGCCATAGACTGGGAAGAGCTTTTGCAGTGTCTCCAGCAAGGAGGGGAAACCAAGGAGAAGCTACCTTAGTAGACTGGCCTGAAGCCTCATTTATTAGTGATTCTGTATCTGATATTCTGCACGTTGAAAGCTGTCTCTGTAACCTGACTGCCAAGAGTTACTTCTACTAAGAAATTGTGGTTGTTGCATTTCACAGAGTATATACAAGTTAGTCCTGTTTCTCAAACTCATGAAATGCCAGAGACTCCCAGCTTTGCGCTATTGACACTGAAACAAACCAGAGAACATTTAAGACACTTAGGAAAGTGTTTGGTCCAAGCTAAAGTTTAAAGCTTCTCACCAATTTCATGTACTAGCAAGCGTTAGCTTAACAGGGTCATGTCAGGAACATAGCGGAGATAAAGGCACATGAGCGCTGATTCGGTAGGAATGCGACATGAGACAGAGCTGACGCAGCCTTCCCCTTTTCAGACCTCTGTCCCACTAAGGTGTCTGCCTACTCAGCTTCATCTACACTGCCAAGTGACTCAGAGGTAAAGCTCCCATGCTTTGTGCATATTTCCCATAAAATGAATCACATTAGAAACACCTAAAGCATTAGTAGAAGTGAGAGAAACTCATTGGAGTAGATATCTCCATGGAGCGGTTAGCTCTTCAGAGAGAGGGCAGCCGTTCCTTTAGAAAGCAGAGTGGGACTTCAAAAAAAGAAAAAATATATACTCTGAACAGTCATTCAGCTTGCAGAGACTCACGAAAGCAGACTAGAGCGCTTACAGCAGCCCTGTCCAAAAACAAAAGGCCCCGCTGGGACTAAGCTGCATATTTAAACCCACCTAGTACACTTCATAACCGACCTGTCTAAAGTCTTTTCATTGTGCATAAGAACTGACGTCCTTTGAAAGGCCTTCCTTCTCTCCACCTTCAGTTCTTACAGATGGTAAACAAGGCTGCCTATCTGGCTGTCAGGAGCAGAAGTCCTGTCAGTTCAGAGCAGCACTATATCAGCCACTGTAACACGTTCGCAGAATAAGTAGAGTCAAGCTTGGGAAGCAAATTCCATGAGAAATGAATCAGGATTCCTCCTTGTGAAATTGCTCACCAGATGCCTTTACTTCACGGATGCTCTTGCCCAGTAGCAGCAAAAGAAGAAATGATTTGTTTTCTTCAAATCTTTATGTATTTCAAAAGCTTTGAACTAACAGTCTTTGAATCTAAAATCAGTATTAACACACGTTTTTTTCCCCCCAGAACTGGATTAATAAAAAGCCCAATAAACACAAATCAATACCAATATGAACAAGGCCTTTACACAAGGAAGAAGTATGCTCTGCCCAAGGTTTTTAGCTTGCATCACATGTCAACGCCATCCTAGTTTTGCCGTAACAGTACCAAAGCTTCAATTCCCCAGGGCGGCATAAGCCATCACACGTCTAACAGATCCTCTTTCACGAGCGCGGCCCTTTGAACATCTGAGATGATACATGGGCTTCCAGGTCACCTCAGATCTTATCACTTCACTAAAATACTTCAGAAAGATTCAATTCACCATTAAGTTGGTGTTATTTTGCAGACAAACAGAACTCCTCCTAGACTATAAATATCGTGGGGCGCATATGACAAAGTGCAGAAATACCAGAAAAAAAGCTAAGAAAGCTTCCAGATAATTAATTCCAGCAAGAAGACTGATACTACAGTTCTTCATTTCTGTAATCCAACCAATTCTATTCCATAAGGTAAAAGTCTAAGGTTCCACTTTACAAGCTAGTTACACCCAATGAATCTAAATCCCTCTAACAGCCTTGCGTTTGCAGCTCAGTACACAGATAAATCTGCAGGCACTCTAGCAGCAGTGAACACAGGGGTCATATCCCTACCAAAATCCACATCCAGGGACTAATTAATTTCTACTGCTATTTCATCCAGAACAACACTCCTTTTGCTGCAGACCATCAGAATTCACATCTAAACAGATTACAAGTCACCCTTTACATTTACCTCCATGCCAGACATTATCACCAGTTTCTGAATCACTGAAACAAGCTGTTTTTCACTGAAACAGGTAAAAGAGGCTTTAAACACACACAGAGCAAGAAGAAGAGAGCAAAATATCTACAGAATTCAACTCAGAGACAGATCTCTTCAATACAGTGAGCTTACACAGAGCTAAAGAAATTCCCAAGCGTAGAGTCCACAGATCAGAATCAGATAGGGAAAACAAAGCAAACATCAAACCCAAAAACAGATTATATCAAACTATCAGGAACCACAAGACCAACAAAGTCGCAGTATAGGAAGGAAGAAAACTTAGACCATAACTCCAACAACAGAAAAACAACACCACGCCACATAGCTCACAAAAGAAACAGCCAAAGGAGAGGAACAAGGAAATAGCTTTTCTCTTTAGCTACACCCACCCCGACTAGCCTCTCAGAAAATTTCCCCCCAGCACCTGAGTGACTCATCCGAGTAGCGGATTATTAATTACATTAAATTAATTCTGACTGAGACCAGCTGGCCTCTTTCTCATTCTCTCAATCTGCAGTAACTATCTGAGCAACTTCCAGAAATGCCTCAAAGACACTTTGTCACACTTCTGACGCCTAGCCCTGCTAAAACGGAAAGCAATCAGAAAGTAAGAGTGTCTTTATTTTTGGGGCTGTATCAACCCCTAAAAACTTGTTTCCAGTAAATGCAGTCACAATACAGGGAGCTGCAGCCCTGCTGATGAGTCTAATAACTCTGTAGGAGAGAGAATGGAAGTCCGTGCAAAATGGAAAGTGGACATGATTCTTGCCCCTCTTCTCCCAGGAGTTCTTGATTCACTCCTCCAAAGGTCTTCTGTTTTTGGGACACCACTTAGATAATAACTTCAGAAACCCCCAGACATGTTTTTAATACATCGAGTGTTCCAGTATGACTGGTTTGAGGATTCATCAAGTGTTGCCAATAATTGGATTAACACCAGCTCCTCTGGGACCCTGCCTGTGATACTCTAATATATTAGTTTTACTATAACTGTTAGATTTAACCCATAGACAAGAGAAAGTAAACTGCCAAGGCCAGGCTATATATACCTGTTTAGGGTGGCATAAATAAAACAAACATACATGGCTGTATTTCTTTTACTGGCTCCTTCTCAGCCTGGCAGCTGCATTCGCTACTGAACTGTGGGATTTCTATATGTATGATGAAACTATGTGCTTACTACTGCAATCACTTAACCACATGCTTAATATCTATGCACATGCCAAAAGAAATACTTCTACTTACAGGAGACTAGAGGTCCCTGCATCAAAGTGCCACTCTTGTGTTTAATGGTAACAATTTAAGTAAAGTAGCTCTCATCTTGGATTTAAGCACCTACTTTGCCTTTGCTAGGCTGTGGAGACGTCAACCTGTTCTAGATATGGCTTTGCTCAGACTCAGATGCGTGAGAAAGCTAACAGTCAGAGAGTCCCTAGGTCTGCTGACTTCAAATGACTCCCTCACGCTGGGTTGACTGGTTTTCCTCAGTCATGCCCCTGTATGACTCTCCACAAACCTGAGTTAAGAGGCAGAGGGACAGGATTGCAGCCTCCAGCAGAAGCACTTGAGGAACAAAGAGATAAAGACTCTTTTAAATGTGGGCACTTCTTTGAGCAACAGTCACATGCCAAATCAGGCTTAAGAGAGAGAAACTAGGTAGAGCAGCTCAGCTCTTGGCTGCCAGCCAAGTTCAGGACTCAGCCAGGTAAGAGAAGATTCATCCACTGTAAATCTCTAGTTACAAGTTTTTCAAGAGGAAAAGCATCTTTAACAAAAACACATAACCTTTTACTAAGCTTGACTTCCTTGCTTGCTTTCCATTTTGACCCTGAAAACTTAATGAAAAGCCATTAAACACCTACACAGTTTAGAATATGAGGGAGTGGGTATGCGCAGCTAGCTGGGGGCTTGAGAGATCTGAAGCACTGCTACTAGTGTAAAGACTCTATACTCCAAGAAAAGGTGAAACCATACAGAGTGCATCTGAGAAATGTGCTTTATACACCCACAGCTGAGATTAAGAATCCAGATCTGCCCAATCCTGTTGCATCCTATTCTCACAAAAGAGAAGTGATGAGCAAGAACGGAGGACAAGGTGGAATTGCAGAGGTATGCATAAAGCAAAGCATGTGTATGTCTGTGTTTGCAGTATCAGAGTCATAAATACTCATCTAAAGGAAAACTGACCTCTACAGGGATTTCTGAGCTTAGACCCTGTCTGATAAAAGAAAACAAAACAGAAAAGTCAATACCAGGAAAAAACATAAAAAATCCTTCAGGCCAGGCTCTGCGTTTATTCTTCTGTTTGTGTAATTCCCCCTACAAGAGGATCTTGATCCATATCAGGGTCTCTGGGTACTACTCCATATAAATAATTTTAACAGCTAATTCCAGTGCAAACACACTCTGCTGAAAACCTTTGCATTATTTACTAAGTTATTTTTCTCTCACGAGCTTGGCTAGTTTTGAAAGCAAACGCTTTCAAGGACAAAAACCAAGTTTTGTGCTTTCTGCCATGGCCTGTTCCCCAACCCAAGGCATCCTAACTGTGCTGACACAACCACGTCAAAATCATCCTGTATTTGAATCATTCATTGCCTGGAATAGGTGAAAGGTGAGAGGAGCATTGTTTTAAACCGTAGCACAAGATGCACATTTGCTGAAGGAAAAAAATACAAGCTGAGCCTAAGAAATGGCCCAAGCTGTACACGATTCTAGTGACAGAAGTAACTGTTTGGGGCTAGTTTTCAGCGTTCTCCCTAGATTTCCAGAACCGTTACAGTATTTCCACCAAAATATTATTCAGAAGCCCAGAGCTGTGCTTCCACCGCTCAGTGGTGGTGGGCGACGGCTAAGGGCACGCAGGACACCGCCTCTCAGAGCACGCTTGCCAAAGCGCTCGGCGCAGCAAAGGGGCTGCCGGCTCTCCCCGCTCCCCACCCTCCTCCCCGGCGCTGCCCTGACAGCCGCCCGCCCAGGCAGCAACCAGCCCGGCCAGCGCAGCCGCTACCCCAGCCGCCAGCCCGGGCCCCCTCACCCCT